TATTCTTTTGTGTTGGTTTTGAGGTTGAAATGAGACTGACTATATTTTGCTACAGAGCCAATCAGGAGTCTACACTGACACCTATACTGCAAAATGAAAGGGCCCCTCTGGTTCGCCCTCTGACACGTGCCTGCTCGGCTCCAACTTTTGGAAGGTGCTGGTGCATTTGTCTGGTAAAGAGAAAAGATTTGCTTCCACATGCACACACCTACCTTTCAGTGTTTCAATGTCATAGAAAGTTGCCGCAAACCTGGTAGACCGATGAGACGCTGAGCGAGAGTCTGTGCTGGTGAAGCCTTTGAGCTTGCGTCGGCATCTCCACAGCTTCCAGTCCTCTGAGTGTGTGATTCGCAGCAGCTCCTCCAAACTAGAGGCAGCCCTAATCTGCTGCTCAGATCGTTCTAACATGGACCGTGATGCCCGCTTAAAAGAAAAAATACTGGCTTACAAGCAAGTAACTGGGAAATGGTTTGGCAGTTCCTTGAAAAATTAAACGGAGAATTGCCAAATGACCTAGCAATTCCACTCCTAGGTACAGACCCAAATGAACTGCAGGCTGGAACACAAACAGATACATGTACACCTATGCTCATTGCAGCATTATTCATGATAGCCAAAAGGTGGAAACCACCAAAGTGTCCATGAACAGATGAATGGATAAACAAAATGTAATACATGCTACCACATGGATGAACCTCAAAATCATTATACTGAGTGAAAGAAGCTAATCACAAAAAGGACAAATATTATATGATATCACTTATATGAAATACCTAGAATAGGCAAATACATAGAGACCGAAAGTAGATGAGTAGTTACCAGAGGCTGTGTGGAGGAGCTGTAGGGAATTATTGATTAGTGGGTACTGAGTTTCTGTTTGGGGTGATGGAAAAGTTTTGAAAATAGTGTTAATGGTAGCACAACATTGAGAATATAGTTACTGCCAGTAAATTGTACACTTAAATATGGTTAAAGCAGCAAAGTTTATGTTATATGTATATTATTATTGGTTGCCCTGAGGCGATTTCGCAACCCCACATGCAGAGAAGAACTGCTCCATAGGGTTTTCAAGGCTATGACCTTTTGCAAGCAGATTGCTAGGCCTGTCTTCCGTGGCATCTCTGGGTGGGTTTACATCTCTAAGCTTTTGGCTAGTAGACAAGTCCTTAACTGTCTGAACCACCCACGGCCTCCTTATATATTTTTTTTATTACAATAAAAAAAAACAAGTTACAGAGAGGAGTGTGCCCATGACCATGTATGTATAGGGTTGGCAAGTGATGTTTCTACATGCATATTTGTATGTGCTGTAAGAATGTCCAGGTGCATAGTAGAGCTGACAAGGGACAGGTTGTGGCTTCTTGGCCACAGCCAGCTACCCTGAGGGAGCGAGTAGCTGGACCTGTGGGCTCGGGACCATGGTCGCAGGGGACATCAAGTTCAATTGGCATAACATACAACACAAAACATTGTTCTACATCCTACTTTGGTAAGTAGCAACTGGGATCATAAAAGCTTACAAGTGGCCATCTAGATGCAACAATGGGTCTTTCTTCATCCAGAGCAAAGAAGAATGAAGAAAACCAAAGAGGAATGAAAACAATTAGTCCAAGGGACTAGTAGAACATGTGATCCTCAGCCTATATGACCATGAGACCAGAAGAACTAGATGGTGCCCGGCTACCACTGTCAACCACTCGGAAAGGGACTGGTGAAGGAGATCCTGGATAGAGTGAAACAATGTGGAACAAAACTCAAAATCATTAAAAAAAA